GGCGAACCATCCATCGATCTTGGCTTGGATCGATTTGAAGTGCCCACATGAACCGGGACAGCATCAGCCTATTGAAGGTGCTGTATCAATTGTCGATGAACAGGGCAATCCAAAGACGGTCAGGAGATCTACCTTGGCAGCTACGTGGACGCCTCAGCTATGTCAGTGGTTGCTGGATGGCATTTCATTCTCCTTGGAAATGATGGCAGGCATTGTGCCAGAACCTGCTGTGGACCAGCCTTTTCGATTGCATCAGGAAACCCAGGGGCAACGCGTTTGGAACACGGTGCCGGTGGAGACAGAAGCAAATCCTGATGCCCTTCTACGGCAGCAACTGGCGCAACAGGCTGACTTCAAGACCAAGTATGATTACATCACCTTCAAAGGGGCATCAGCCAGTTTGTCAAGGCAATTTCGAAACAATCTGGCACATCTGCACGTATGCCTGGGCCACATTGGACAAGAAAAGCTTTGCAGGATGATGGCGCTCAATGGTGCCAAAGATGTGGTGCTCCAGGCTATCAAGGATTTGGATTGTCAGATTTGCCGGCAAGTGCAGTCACCAACGCCTGCACCAAAAGCAGCTTTTGCCCGGCCAACGACGTTCAATCAGAGGGTGGTCATGGACTCATTTTTTGCGTGGGATGCCAATGACTTTAAGTATGCAGTGACACACATGGTGGACGCCTTCTCCTTGTACCAGATTGCATGGGCATCAGTGAATCCATCAGCTGCTGCAACCACTCATTTGGTCCGGGACAAATGGATTGCCATTTTTGGACCACCGCAGACCATCATGTCCGACGGCGGCACAGAGTTTGGAGGGTCTTTGGAGATGCTCTTGCGCACCTTCCAAGTGTATCACGATATTGTGCCGCCTACGGCTCATTGGAGGATGGCTCTGGCGGAACGACATGGAGCGGTGCTCAAGCTGATGATCATGAAGGTGGTGAAGGAAAAGTCCATCATGGGCATTGATGAACTGCAGAGTGCCGTGGTTGCATCAACTGCGGCCCGCAACATGCAGGCCCGGGTTTCGGGTTTTAGCCCTATGCAGTTGGTGCTTGGAAGAGAAAACCCTTTGCCAGGGAATCTGATGGATGCCATGGAACATGGGTATTTGCACTATCAGATCTCAGATCCCCTCTCCATTGAGGACTCCTTCCGCGGGTCATTGGACATCAGGCGCTCTGCAGAACAAGCCTTTCAATGGATCCAGTCAAACGAGGCATTGCGACGGGCAGCCACCAGCCGCGCGCGATTGCCCAAGCTGGAAATGCTGGTGGAAGGCAGTTTGGTCATGTTTTGGGAGCCCCCACCAAACAGACGAGGTCTGGCCAGACGGCTTCAAGATGATGTCTCATGGGTTGGCCCAGCTATGGTAGTGGCAATCGAGAGAAAGGAGGGGGCGATCAAGCGGGTATGGGTCAGATACCGCAACAAGCTCAAGGGATTTCCCTTGGAGTTTATTCGCCTGGCAGTGGCTGAAGAGATCCAGGCGCAGGATATCAACATGGAGGCCTTCAAGGACATGGAGCAGCAGATTGACACGGGAAGGGTGGTACAAGTGACCGTGCCGGACCCTCCCCAGATCACCGACCCCAAGTATCAGATCATGGAGTTTTCTGATGAAGAACATCCAGAACATCAAGATGCGAAGTTGGGAGCCTCCTCATTGGATGATGTTCCCATCTCAGTCCATCAGAAGCTCAAATCCACAGAGGGTGGGGAATCGTCAGCAGCACCCAAAAAGCAAAGACTTGGCCCACCTGGAGATCCTGCAACCTGGCCCTTTCCTGACAGGAAACAAGTCTTTCAGCCTAAGGAGTCAACTACACAGGCGGCACAGAGAACTAAGGCACATTTGCAGGCCATGCGAGAAAAGCTTCAACCACAGACGCAGCCCGCAAAGAGGCCAAGGAGGGCAAGAGCAGCGTCGTTGCCGCCCTCGACAGTTGAACCATCAGCAGGAGCACATGTGGCGTCTCCGGCTGACACCTTTGTGACCTTGCACCCAAAGGAGGATCCGATGCTGCCAGAGGCCGCAGAATCAGAAGCAGCGACAGATGATGAAGTGGTGTCCACTGGATTCACACCGCCGGTGCATGAGACGTCGCCATATGGACTGGTGTTGGGCCCAAACAGACTTGCGAACATATCGCTGCAGAGATTCATTCAACGTTTTGTTGATGAGGGATCTGGCCGCCCGAACTTGGAGAATTTGCCGGCTTCACCAAACACTACATTGAGGGTGCCTAGACACTACAAGAGGTTGCCTAGGATGCCGTCTCACATGGCACGTCCCTTTGATGAAGTGGATGCGGCAGAACTTCATGCAGCTTGGAGGCGAAATGAGGGTGACTTCTGGATGCTGAGGCCACAACAACAAGAATTGTGGCGGGTGCACAAGACTTCGCGGTACCTCATGTTTATGCCAGACAATCCAGAAGAACAAGTTGGTCCAATGCCAGAGGGGGTGGATTACACATGGTTCCGAGGGCCTCGTTCCACCGTGGTTTACACCAACAATGGCGTTGAACTCATTGTGGATGACTTCAAGTGGGCCGATTGGAACCCCACTCAACATCTGATCAGACCTTGGGTGGGTGTGACGCGTTTCTGGATTGGCCCCAAGGAAATCAGACACGCCATTTTGGCAACTTGGATTGATGAGAGAATGGAGTTGGAGAGATTGTGGCGTGGGGGCCAATGCCTGCAACAGACTTGGATGCACCGAGACCTCATCCCAAAGGACAAGATCGAAGCATCAACTTGGGACGTGAAGTGGATTGACGTCTTCACCATGCAGTCCGAGATCAATGATATGATGCTGGCTTTTCCTGATCGACACGGTCTCGACGATCCTGAGCCAATGGAGATGGATGTGGGCTATCAGGAGTTGAATGATGATGTCCAAGATCTTCCGACTGGGAAGATGAGATTGGAGCTGAAGTGGGCGGCTTTGTCTCCTGCGTGGCAGAAGGCTTTTGAAGAGCCCATCAAAGAGGCAATCAAAGTATACTTCCAGTATGACGCAGTGGCGCCGGTGATGGAAGGGGAAGATCTGACATCAGCCAATGTCATGCCTTCTAGGTTTGTTTTGGTCAACAAGACAGATCCGAAGAACTGCAACCCTGAGGATGACAAAATTGAGGGCTCACGGTTGAAGGCGAGATGGGTGGTTGCCGGACATCGAGATGCCGAAGCCGGCTTGTGGGAGACAGAGGCGCCAACAGCGTCCTTGCTGGCGCACAATTGCCTCTGCTTCTTTGCCGTGCAGTTTGGATGGAAGATGTTTTTTGGAGATATCAGTGCAGCCTTCTTGCAAGGAGAGAACCTTGATCCAAAACGTGTGGTGTATGTGGCAATTCCGAAGGGCTACTCTTCGTTTGTGCAGGAGTACCTCAAGACCTTGCTGCCACCACATGCTCGCACAGATGTCGTCCAGTTCATCAAGGGTGGCTTTGGCTTGGCAGAAAGCCCCAGACTATGGTTCAAGAAGCTGCAGCGCACAGTCAAAAAGCTGGGAGCACATGAATGGGCTCTCATTCCGGGAGTCTTTTCCTTTTTCCAAGAGGGCAGGGTGGTCGCTATGCTAGCATGCCATGTGGATGACATCAGAATGGTTGGTCACCCGGTGGATGCTCAGCACATTTGGGACAAGTTGAAGCAGGAGTTCACCTTTGGCGAATGGCGAGATGCTCGAGATGATTGGGTGAAATTCTGCGGAAGATATGAAAGGCAATGTGAAGATGGTTCCATTGAGGTGCAGATGGACGAATACAGCCAAAAGGTGGAGTTTCCACCGAAGCGACAGCGTCCAGCAGGGCATCGAGACCAGTTGGAGAACAAGTTGACGCCGAAAGAGAAGAAATGGATTGGCCACATCTGTGGCCAGCTGAATTGGCTAGCCCGCCAATGCAGAGGAGATCTTCTTTTCGGTGTATCCCGAGTGCAACAGCTGGCAGGTGTAGATGATCCAGTGGCCTTGGAGGAGCTCACGATTTCGGTGGAAAGAGCAAAGAATCCCCAGAGGATCAAGTTCACCAAGTTGGGTTGCCACGTTGATGAGATGGTGATCCTGGCGGCCTCAGATGCCTCATTTGGAGGCATGCCTCGTGGGCGTTCTCAGGGTGGCGGCGTGGTGCTCGCGGCAAACCCCAAGGTGCTGGATGGTCCCGCGACTTCTATCCCTTTGTTTTTCCAATCAGGCTTGATCAAACGAGTGGTTCGTTCTTCATTGGCTGCGGAAATCTCTCAAGCAGCCGACACCATGGAGCAAGCTGACTTTGTCCGGGCGGTCTTGGCCGAAGCAACGAAGGAGGATTTCTCCTTGAACTGCTGGCTGGGATATGTTTCCCAATGGCGGCTGCTGTCCGTGCTGGACAGCCGCACGGGCTATGATTTGCTCATGGGGGCGAACCATGGAGAAGACAAGAGGTTGGCGATCGACATTGCGGCCATGAAGCAGGCCCTTTTCGAGGACGGTGGATCCCGAATGGTGCGATGGGTGCCTGGCCATGAACATGTGGCCGATGATCTCACGAAGTTGATCGGCAATGGACGACTGGCTGAAGTCCTCTCCCAGAACTTGTGGAGCCTGAAGGATAACGACCAAGCGAAGGAGCTTCGGTCTGATGCTGCGGCCCGGAAGCGTCGCTACCGGCAGAAAGTGCTGGAGGAGCGTAGCGCTTTGGAGAAGGGTCGCCGCCTCCAAAGGGGGTAAGTGTTACTTGTAGCCTGGTATGGCTCAGTCCGGATGGGTAGAAAAGTGGGAGCCGTCGAGCACTTTAAACCTTACCCTCCAGTCATCAAACATGTGCTGATGATCTTCTCTGGTTGGTGGTTTCAAACATTTTTTTAATTTTCCATTTCATATATGGGATGTCATCCTTCCCATTGACTTTCATATTTTTCAAGATGACTAAAACATGTTAAAACCACCAACCAGTTCTCATATCATGCGCATGGAGTGTTGCTTCGCCTGGAAGCCTGAACAGGCCGGGCCCTTGTTGACAAAGCTGGTGGCCAAGCTGAAGCGCACGGAACATTTGTTCCTTGGAGTAGGGCCTGAGGTCTTTTTTTGGCGAGAAAAGGTCATTAGGTCATGAATCATCAATATACTGTAATATGGGGATATCGAAGACCCTGAGGGATAGAGTCAAGATGAGTTAAGTACAATGATGATTGATTTATATGTTAGTGAATAAATATACGTATTAAATCGTATTAATACATATATATATATGTATACACATATGCATATACATATACACATATACATATACATAGTTGATTGACGAAAGTTGGTTGAAACAAATTGATGGCATGTGGTTGAAACCTATATATCTACATCATAAAGTTGATGATAGATGATGGTTCATTGAAGCCATTGACATTGAGTACTTTATTGGGTTCAACCATTGGTGATGAATAATCCCAGTGATGCCGGTCCATTTAGTTTGATGATTTACCTATTAAAAAGTAATGATTTTCCATTGTCCATAGCTATGTTAATGAACAGATGGCAATCTGGATCCATGGGTAAATACCTAAAGGAACCCTCAAAAAGATAGACTGTTTCCAGGATGTTACATATACCCTCTGGTAAACTAACGTAGCTATAGAAAATCACCATTATTAATGGGTAAATCCACTATAAATCACCATTTTCAATAGCTATTTTGACATAACCAGAGGGTATATATATATATATGATACTTACTTCATATTTCCAGGTTTCCAGATTTTCTTTCTTTCTTTTTTTGGAGCTTACTCTATAAACATCATAGAAACCACCGATAAAAATCCCATCGCAAGTGTTAGGTTGATCGGATCGAAACACTTCCTGAATTAGAATTATCTCCCCATATTTTTCCTGGTTCAATCATGTTAAACCCCAAAAATCCCATAAAATCAACGAAGGAGCTTCGTGGGTCAGCAGGGGTCGCTCTATAGCCACGTGTCACCTGGCTAGGTGGCATTCCATCTGGGCCAACCTCAATGCTGCAGACAAACACAGCTCGCGTATCCTGGCCTACGACTCTGAGGCCACGGTGGCCACAGCTGGTGTGTGATGCACGCCTTTTTTGAGGCCGAAAAACGCCAAACATTTTTTGGGATATAACGGGATAAATTGTATATACTGTAACAACACAATATTATAGTCATTATGGTATAATATGATAATAATTAAACATAGTAGTTTTAATTATTCATAATTCATAATAATGATGAATAATAATATACGTAATTTGGTTTTAATACCCTAAACAAGCACAACTACTCTCCAGCAAACTAACATATGGAAAATCCACCATTTGTAGTTCATTTTCATTGGAATATCCCAGACGAAAATGACCTGCACATGTTTGATCTATTACATGTTATTCTACTGGAGGGTATCATTTTTTTAACCCAAAGGTAGGATTCAGAAAGGATTTTAGCCCCGATTGCAGACTATCATCTCATCGTTGGTTGGGATTCCGCTATATCTCTGCTGGTTGCTGTTCCTCTTTGCCATGGGCGGGCGAAATTTCCGAAGCAAAACAGACCTGTTCAATCCCTATATCTACATATACTTGCATACGGACGTAGATGCACAAACAACACTATATATATATAAATGAACTATATACTACCATATTATATATATATATATTATACACAACAATATTCACATGATATAATATATATTCTTATCATACAAAAAGATAATATATGATATCATTGTTGTATCATATGAATCCAACTGTTCCTTTTGGCTAGGCCTGGCAGCATCTTCATGGTTCGCGACACCTGCGCGAAATCCTGAGCCGAGTGCCACGGGCCGAGGCGTGACCGCTCTTGGAAGGCCAGAAAATTACCATTAAAAATGGCCATAGAAATAGTGAGTTTTCCCATTGAAAATGGTGATTTTTCATAGTTTTTTGTATGTTTACCAGAAAATTACCTATTACCAATCTTACTGGTGCTTAGTAGGGAATGGATGGGAATGGGGGTTGCTGGGATAATTATTACTAGTGATTATGGATCATTCCCTCATTCCATACGAAGCACGAGTAAGCAATGTAGGTGTCAAAAATTGTTCACTTGTTGAATTTTTGATTTCACCTATCTTTACCTATGTAGGTTATTGTAGGTTTGTGTTTCCATTCTTCATGTTAAAGTCACCACAGCCACATTTCATCAGGTTTTCCAGGAGGTTTTGCAGGGGTGGAGGGTTAGGAAGTAGTGGGTTTACTCCCAAATGAGAAAAACTGCATCCCACCTTCATGTTTGCTGGTGAAATTCTCTTTGTTTTCACCACCGAGTTTAGTTCTGTGACATTCCTGTCTTTTTTTTTGCGCATTTGCAAGTGGTCTATTTATGACCCAGAGAAGAACTGGGTGATAGTGGTAGGAGATTTCATGGGAGACATGATATAATATGATATAGTATGATATAGTTACTACCCACTTACTATACTCATATACTGTACCTGGAAAGCGACTTCTCCCGCGTTTGCTCCAGGAGATGCACGTGCGCTTGTGCTTTCCGCCCTTTGTCTTCAGCTCCTTGAAGCGATGGAACCGACGAGATTTGGGTGGTCTGTAAACGAAAATAAGATGATAAGGACATTTTGAATAATGATTATAGGTTGGAATTACCACTAATTATTATAAGGACAATCTGATAGTTAGAATAACTTAGAGTTAATTCGGATACATTGGTATTTTTAATTGTGATTTTATGGGTCGTTTTTGGGATAATGGCTTTGTCTGAAAATAGAGTATACCCAATATATCTATTCTAATAGGAAAATGACTCTTTTAACCATCACTTTTTCGGGTACCATATTTTTAGACAAATCCATACACAAAGATGGGTCAATGTAGTTTATAATTCTGCAATGTCAACCCCAAACGGCTGTTGAAAATTGCGGGGGTACCCATTTATCAGTATCAGATGATCACTATTTGGAGGGTAATCCCCAGTTTCATAATGAGTGGTTTACTCATGAATATCTCAATGGTTTGCTAATTTCCCGCAGTTTCATATTAAGTATATTTAAGTATCATATCATCACCAATGGTTCACAATCCGGAGTTGACAGCACACCTTTTAGTTTCAGAAAGAACCCCAGCTATTCCGAATGGAGCCATCATAGAATTGGATGATGGGAACATTTTAACCGGAACCCCCTATATTTGATGGTAAAAACCACGGTTTCCGGTTAAGATTTTCCCTTAAACCAATCCATTGAAGCCACCCGACAAGTCGCCAAGGGCAAGCGAACCTCTGCGCCTTCGAAGACATTGTTTCGTTAACGCGTCGCTTCGTACCGCAGAACAGCGCGGTGGTGGAGCGGAAGCGGGGCTGAAGCGGGCGAGCTGGGAATGGCAATGGGCGCTTGGAAAACCACTGAGTAGTGCTTGGTGATTTTTTCATGATCTGATTTTTTGGATTTGATGGATGGATATGGATGTGGTTTAGAACCCGATGGTCAAATCAATTTTCCAAAAAATGGTTTATTTTTATGATTTGATCATGATTTTCCCACTGAAAGTTGTGTTTCTCTTCAGAAGCGCTTAAATGAGTTTTTCAGACCATCAGGCTTGATCAGGCTTTTTCATCGAACATGGAATTGTCATCCAGGCACCTGTGAAGGATTGAACACCAGACATCTATGAATTCATGGATCATCAGGTGGCAGTCTTGACCAAATGTCACATGGAATGGTCATTGGGTGAAGATGCAGTGCCATGGCCCAATGCCAATGCCATTGGTTGGATGTGTAGAATATTGAAGCACTTGGGGTGGGGAAATATTTGTTTTAAGATTGCACTGAGGTACCACAAAAGTGGAACCTGAGTGGTTTTATTCTTTACAGAGAAAAGACACACTTTTATTTTAAACATGTGCACCAGAAATGACACTGCTTGGGTCTAAAAACATTTTCGTTGATTTCTTAGATGTCATTTTGATTTGGTCAAAATACTCCAAGCACTTCAATACTCCAGAGGCATTTTGGAGAAAGGGGGGTGGGGGCACCCGTTTTCTATTTAAAGATTAGAAAATCGAGGTAGGGGGTGGTTAGCTTAATTTGAAGCAGGATATTTACCAATGTTAATCATTTTTGTTTGCACCTAAAGCGCCAATATTCAGCCCATGACAAGAAGATGTTGGATTTTGTTTTTTGGCATAACTTTGGCATTTCAACATATTTTTACGTGAAAGGATAAATTATACATATTTTATTATATTCTGCATTCGGTTTCTTGAACTGTCTATTGGCGATCCCGGGCCACTATTGAGCGGGGACGGCTGGATTGAATAACCGGATATATCCAGTGATTTGGACACATTCGAAAAATTCGAAACCAAGCGCTGGGTTCGGATGATGGGCTCTACAAAAACTAAAATGTGAATGTTCTGGAAAGGGTCCACATATGGAGAACTAAAACATGTTTTAAATATTCAATCCGAGTCCCCCTGCATTTTCTACCTAATTTTCCGCAAACAGGCTTTCAACACGCATTTTGGACAGAGTGTGACTTTCTGGTATGCCTGAAATTGGTTTGATGCCAATCGCTGATTTCCTTGGGTCCTATAGGTCCTATGGGTCCTTAATTTTACCACCTTTATATTCTAGTAGAATATCAGGTGTGCCAACCTGACAGGGTAAACTCGCACCCGGATATGCACACCATATACATCCATATATATATATATGGTACATACATGATGTACAAGGTTTTCTATAGTTAATCTACTCCTGACATGGCCAGTTCGTGCCAGCTGTGGCCAGGAGCTCTATGGCGGTGTTGGAACCATCGGCTTGGCGGCCTCAGGAAGGGCTTAAGTGGTTTGGTCCACCCCAGCACTGGAGGAATCTTAGATATTCTACTGGTTCATAGTGATTAATCATGGTTATATAATAATGGCCAATAATGGTTAATCATGGTTAAACATCATGGTTAAACATCATGGTTAAAAATAGTGGTTAATAAAAATGGTTAGTAATAGTTAATACTGGTTAATAATGGTTAATAATGGTTAATAATGGTCTATCATGGTCTAGAATGGTTAATAATGGTCTATAATGGTCTACAATGGTTTAGAATGGCTAGTAATGGGTGTATCACTAAAAATAATAGATGAAAACTGGAGAGTTGGACCAATGTGAGAAAACGAATGCTATAAACCTAGCATGACTGAGGCTGGTCTGAATCCCATAAAGACAATGGAATTTAATGGGTTTTGCTCATTAATCCGACATATGCTACTGGCATGACTGGGGGTTCTAAACCACTTGCGATTCCTGGGATGAAGCACCAAGAGTCATGGATGTCATGGGTTTAGATCAAGTGATTTTCGCATACTCGAAACATGGAATTTCCCAGCCGGCCATATTTTCCTCAGGTAGTTCAACAACGGATATTTGCTGCTCGATGTTTTTGGTGATATAAATGTAGCATTTGAAAAAACACCTATCCAAGGATTGCGGGCTGAATTTAATGAACACATTCTGAAAGACGACCACATCTTGGAGACTAATCTTCAAACATATCCAAGATGACTGGCTATCTCCAAGTATTTTTTTTCTATACTTATGGGGTAAATTACTCCTATATAGTTGCCTAGCTCCCATCGAATTTTAAACATTTGGATTGTGGGGACACTTTTTTGTTGCCAGTTTTAAGAGGTAAATCATCGACGAAAAGAAGGGACCATATTCCATAGCTTGGTGGGATCACCAGTACATGAACTCACCATTTTGTGACGGTGAAATCAGTGAAATCTACCCATTCCCAGGATTTAAACCGTGATAGATCCTGGTTGCTTGGTGGCCACTCCCATCTTTTGTTCCTTCCGCCAAGGCCTACACCTAGCAGACCTGGTCAGTGTGGCGCCTCAAATGATGGCACTGAAGGGAAAATGATGAGAAACCGTGGGAGTTTGGATGATTTTGGCCGGTCCCCTGAATTTTCCAGACCCCAGTGCAAAATCAATCAGTACTGTCATTTTGAAGATCTGGATTGTCGGCTGCGATGGCAGATGATGGCAGGTTCCCTGGTGTGCAGCGACGAGAATCCGCACAACCGCTTGTGCTTTCGCCGCAGTTGCTGGGCCCAGATTCGCGTCAAACAATGGGATTCCCAATAGATGGAGTTTGGGTGACCTCCATTTTGGAAAATGTCCAGACGACAACGTCATAGATGACCAATGAATAACTGTCAACGTTGCTGCAAACTATATACCCCTACGGAAGTGTCCTAAATTACTAAAAACTTCCATTTCAACAGGATTTTCCACTAAAACCATCCAGCTATTGGGGTAGCCCCATGACTATGGAACCCCCCTGGGCCCCTTACTGCGTCGTCAAAACGGCCAGGGGAATCCTCCCAGGGAAGCGACGCGAAGCGATCTGAGGTGCCAAAGAGTTGCCAGAGGAGCTGAGGTGGATGTGTTGGCCACGGTGTGATAACTTGAACCTTTTCGGCATCTTTTAGGAGGTTACTCTCTATATATATATATGATATATATGATTGCATATTTATATATGTATATATATATTTATATTTCTATATATTTATATATAAATATATTTTTGTATTTATATATTTTTGTATTTATATATTTTTGTATTTATATATTTATATTTCTATATATTTATAATATATTTGTATTTATATATTTATATATTTATATATGTTTATATTTATATATTTTTGTATTTATATATTTTTGTATTTATATTATATTTCTATATTTTTATATATTTATATGTTTATATGTTTATATGTTTATATGTATTTAGATATTTATATGTTTAGATATTTATATATGTATATTTTTACATATTTACATATTCATATATTTATATTTATATATTTAAAGAGTTATATATTTGTATATATTTATATGCATATATATATACATAATATTTTTACATGTATATAATTATATATTTATCGATAGTATTTTTAATTAGATATATTTTTCTTATCTACATCGATTGTAAATAAAACAATAGTTGCCAAGAAACAACAAAGGAAAGTAGCCTTTGGAGCATGCGAATTGGACATTGGAGATGGTTTATGAATGTCTGAGGCACAATATCAAACAATATTGTCAGTCGTTCATGACGTCTATTTGGGATGTAGCACGGGGGACAGACCAAGAAGAATGGAGATTCAACAAGTGATTTGGCTACGCTTTTACAACCATAGGGATATAAAGCCGGAAGACACAGAGTGTACAAAGCGGACGCGGATGCAGGAATGTTTGTCTAAAAGTCAAAGAGGGGCAACAAGTCCAGAACAAAATTCCTGGCAAAAACTGGAGAGTCTTAATGGCAATTTTCAGTGGAAAAAAACACCTTCCCAGGCCCACTGCGGCTGGCTTCAAAGTCCAAACTGTTGTTTTTGCAAGAATGGAAAGTCATTAGCCTGAAACTGTTGTGTTTAAGTCTCACATGTTGTATCATACCTTCCGGTACTGAAACATGGCTTGCTGGAAAACCCTCATTTAGATCGATGACTTTTCCATTGAAAGCTCCATCCAGTTCGGGCACTTCCCCTTGATCGCTATGGTTAATACATGTTTTTTGATGCCAAAAAAATCCATGGATTTTTGAGGTATAAATCCCTGGCCCACCGTAGCTGGACATGGTCCGACGGTCCATAAATGGGACATTTCGCCATGGAAATGACAAGGGCAGGACCCCTCAGCCACGATGGATCATGGAGGGGATCGCAGAGAGGAGTTCCAGATGATTTCTGGGTAATGTGAAGGCAAACATCTTCGCTTTCCGCCAGGTCTGGGTTTACAACATTTTTTTTTGCTGCTCTGGAAACCATACTGAAAGACAGGTCTTGAGAGTTTGGAACAGATATGAATGAAACAGATACCGTCATGGACCTGAATTTGGACAATCTCAAACAGACGTTCAACAGAGGTCAAGGAAAAAGAGAAGCTCCAAACAACCATTTCAAACATAAGTTGTCAAACAGAAAGTCCACATATTCACAGACAACATGTCTGGCTGCGATGGGCTTTGGGCAACAACTTCGCCCTTCATGGCTCAGGCAGTGATGGGTCACCAGCGTGGGGAAAAAAATCAGGTCGTTGGGTGCCACCATTTCACTCAACCCAAGTTGGGTTTATCAAAAAGGTGCAATTTTAATGGGGAAAATGGTGATACAGTTTATCATTTCTTGGGTGGAACCCTATGATTCAGACAAACCCTTTTTTCGCACGTGTCGGATTTTTCATGTCAACTTCTGGTTTGAACAGATGTTCATAGACAAAAAATACCCCAAAACCCCATGATTCATCATTTTTCCGGTATAAACGGCTATAATTCGAGGTATACCCCATTTCCAGACACATGTGTTCATAAATCTCATGGTTGATCATCTTTTTTGCATTGCCATCTGGTTATTTAGCATAGCCATGGAAAATCACCATTTTTAATAGGTAAACCATCTATAAATGGGCCATTTCCCATGGCTATGTTAAATAACCAGAGGGTAATTTTTTGAATCTGGCTGAATTCCATTCTTGGACCCGTTCACCAAGACTTCGTCGGTGCCAGGTGGCACCAAGCCCCAGAAAGGACAGCGGGGCCCTGGGGCAAAAGGTGAGGTGGCAAGAATGCTCCAACCAACAGAAATATGGAGATGTTGAATGTGTAACAACCCAACATAGACATGTACAGTATATGAGGATTTATTTACAGAAATGTCGTTTTGTTTTTTGCATAATTTTACACCTTCAACTCATTTCCATCCCGGAAATCAGGGATGAAGCGATAGAAAAAATCGGTTTTTGCATGTCATTTCTTGGGCCGAAATCATCAATCCCATTGGTTCAAAGGATAAGTTACCGGAACCCCCTGTATTTGTGAGTTATATAAACTATGGATCAATACCTATAAATAGCAACTTCAGGGGGATGAACATCCATTTACCAGCTATTATGATGTTCACCAGGGGTACAAGGTTTTGACCCATCCCCATATCAACTATTATAAACTTAAGGTAACTATGGACAATCATCATTTTTAATGGGAAAACCCACTATAAATCACCATTTTCAATAGCTATTTTGTATGTTTACCAGAGGGTAAGGTTTTCCTGGAAATTTTCCTAATAGACCCCCATTGGAATCAACGGTTTTTACAGGACTGGTCAGCGACTGCTCCGAGTCGAGGGTGGTTCAGCTGCGAGTCCGAGATGGACGACTTCGTGGCTGGAGCCTGCGAGGACGGCCTGGGGGCGAGGGCTTATTGCTGGGTAGAAAGATTGGTAACTTCCATAAGTTGGGAGATCTCCATGTTCGGAGATAATCCCTATTTTTATGGTTATACATATATTTCATATATATATATACATATATATATACATATAATATATAATATAATATAATATAATATAATATAGTATAATATAATATATAAATATATATATCTGGAGGAAAGTTTGGTTAGACAATAGGGTACCCTCCGGTGTCATCAAACATGGCTGGCTGGAAAATCCTCTATGCTGGGAGGTTTATAGTTGGAAACATCATCTATAAATGGGGGGTTTCCAATTGCTATTCTTGATTGCCGGAAGGTACTTCCCCAACACTGATGGTTGATCCCGTACTACCGTACTGTACCACATTCGATTTTTGCCCCGTGTTGTTGGGGGAATACTCCGCCCTGTTGTTGTATGAGCTATGGTTGGTTATATTATATGACATTACATGTCAAACACATGGTTGATTTCTTCACTGTGAAAAATCCCATTCAAATCATGACTGAAATCAGGATATGTCAAGGTTTCCCGGAATCGAGGTGAAAATCCCCATGATATCCCCATGGTAGTTACCCTCTGGTAATTCAAGATAGCAATGGAAAATGGATGAACATGGCCCATTTAGTTCGGAGTTCGTTTTTTTCCCCTAAAACACGGTGGCTTTCCATGGCAAACTGTGAAATTCCCAGAGGGATCCAGAGGGTATATTACTATACATTTACCACATTTATATCCCATTCAATCACCAATTTTGTTAGTTCAATCCCATTCAACCAGCATTTTCACCAGAGAAATTATCACGTTTCCACCATTTTTGCCAGTTAAATTCACCCATTCTTCATTGTAGGACGGGCACTATAGTTTTATTGTATATCTATCTATCTAATATATATATATATATATAGAGTCTATATATCATATTTTTATTGTATATCTATACTCTATAAATCACATATATATATATATATGTATGCCATTAAGTCACCATTATATCCCATCGTTCCTGACATCTTAGCGCGTTCGTCCAGGACGAGCATCTGGAGGCGCAGCGCTTCCTGGCCACGCTGCAGGGGAAGGTGCAGCTGGTGCAGCTGATGCGCTTTCGGGCGCTGGAAGCCCTGCGAAGTCGAGACGCTCACGATGGGAGGAAGGGGCCAGAGACATTTTTGTTGGGATAGGATGGACATGTTCACATATCTTCACCAATTTTTTGTTGACTTGAATGATAGAATGGACATTTTTTCACCAGATTTTGGTGACTTTTTGCGGGACTTAATGGGATATAACGGGATACAGAAAGATATCGTCTGGGAAATTCACAGTTTGCTATGGAAAATCACCATTTTGTCATGGGTAAATCCAATTGAATGAGCAATTTCCCATGGCTCTGTTAAATAGCTAGATTGTATTGTATTGTAGAAAAGGAGTTTGACCATTAAATTTAGTTTTAAACCATCAAGATTGGGAATTTGCATAGACAATTTCATGATTTAATGGTGGTTTCATGGACATATTAACGAAATCTGGTTTTAAGTTGGAGTGAACCGTTACAGAAATTCTGGAAAGATGGGGATTTAACCAATAAACATTGGGATATAGTCTTAGAGTCTTAGTGGGACAGAATGGGACATCATGGGACATCATGGGATATATACATATATATATAATTATATATATATAACTTCACCAACCATCTGGAGATATGGATTTTGTACTATTTCAGATCAACCGCCATTCCAAAGTGCGGTGGAATGTGTTGGAGGTGATGGCTTGGCTTCCCAAATGCTGCGTGGATTCCCTAGTGGGCGCATTTCTGCTGGTTGGACATACCCCATGGTATTTTTTCACAAAGCTATGGAAAATTGCCATAAATGGCCCATTTAGGCCATGATGAACTACTGAATTACCTATTCAACATGGCCATCTTGAAGGTACCAGAGGGTAGTCATGGATGATTGACGAATATCATCCTTTCTTCCTGATTTTTTCTACTTGGTTATATCTATCTATCTATCTATCTATCCATCCATCTATCTATCTATCTATCTCTATCTATATATCTATCTATCTATCTATCTCTCTCTCTCTATCTATCTATCTATCTATCTATCTCTATATATATATATATATTATATAATATTTTATAATATATCATATATTATATATAGAATATATATAATATATGATATACATATATATATATACAATAAATGTATATATAATATACATAATACATACATACATATATATATATATATACATATATAAATAGTGTATAATATATACATATATATACAATATATATATAATATACATAATATATATAATATAATATACATAATATATATAATATAATATAATATAATATAATGTAATGTAATGTAATGTAATGTAATATATTGTAATATAATATAATATATTATAAAATAAAATAATATAATAGAATATATATAGAATATATAATATTCATAATATATATATACATACATAATATATATATATATAATAATAATAATATAATAAAATATAATATAATATAATATAATATAATATAATATACATACAATATACATATAATATATTTGGGGGTTAAAAGTGGTCACCTGCAGCACCCCATAGGCTGCAGCACGGATTTTTCTTGAGCCATCAGAAGTAGCGGAGCGTTTAGCCATGTACATGTCATCCTTAGTGCAGGGGCCATGCTTGTAAAAACGAAGCTCACCCTTCTACACCTTGGACCTTGGCATACCAGCAACTGTACATCCTAGAGGTTAGAGTGTTCCATGAATCACACTCCCCCTACCTCATTTTGAGGTACAGCTACCTAAAACAAACAACCTTTGGCGCAGCAGCACTAGGAAAAAGCTGCAAAAGCGCTCACCAGGTCTCCCCAGAGACCTCACTCCAGCTGCCGTCATCGCTCAGTTCCTCTTCGGCAGGAGGTAGGCCATCTCGACGCTGAAGGTCAGCCAAAACCGGTTGAGCTCGTCGACCAGCTGAAGTCTGTGCTTTTGGCCTCACCGCAGGTGCTCTTGGTGTTGGGAGCGGACCGTAGGACTTCGCCGTAGCCGCCCGGCTCACATCAACACGGTTCTCTTCCCCACCAAGTAGGTCAGGAAGAAGCCCAAGATGCCCCTCGGCTCCATCAGGCAACCTCAAAACTGCAGGCTGAAGCTCACCACGATCATGCGGTCCTCCAGCTCCGTCACGTTCAGGCAGGTGAAAACGATGCCCTTCTCCACGAGCATCATCACCAGAGCTCCGAGACCCAGTGCGATCATGCACGGTCCCAGTTTCATTCTTGAGGCGGAAGAAGGTCCACCCAGTCCACCTTGAAGTAGCGGGGTTCGCCGGCTCCACATCCCAGCGGTCCGTCTTGACAAAGCGGCGGTTGGTGTCCTCCTCGAAGCCCACAGTCACACGTAGAGGAAGAAGATCTCCACCTGCAACCGGAGAGGCACGGTGGATGGGCTGGAAAGTGCATTTCCTTGGATCCCTGTGGACTCTAACAAGCCATCCACGTTGGATCCAGGAACTTTCCCATCTGTCCTTCTTCCCAGTCGGCGGAGGCGTCGAGAACTCAGGTAGTTCCCACAGTGCCGTGGCCGCATCCACAGTGACTCGCATAGCCTTCATGCTGTAGGACCCACTATCAGGCGGAGGACGCTTGGTTCCCGAGCCATCATCCAGGTCCTTTCTCGCATGGATGTCATAGTCCTCATTTTCTTCCTCATCAGGTGGATGGTCTTCAGCTGGAGGCTCGCCTTCCGGTTCTCCAGCTCCATGCAAACCCTGAGAAGTCCAGTTTCCCCAGGCATCATCATCGTCATCCTCAGCGGCGCCTGGAGTCTTCCCCTGGCCTTTTCCTTTTCCCAAAGACTGCCGGCGATCTCCACTAGGAACTGGTCGGTCGGTTGAAGATCCAAGGCCATCGCCACTGGCAGTTGAAGAGCCCACGCTGCCTCGCCTCGGTGGTAGCAGAGGTTCGGGAACGGGTTTTCCTTTTCCTTTGGGACCAGTTGGGTCGCTGTTCGCTTCTTCATTCTCTTCACCAGAGCTGATGACCTCTGGCCCGTTCTTTCCTTTCCCTTTTCCTTCTGGCTCATCAAGGGGACGGATCTCGATCAAACCGTCACCTCTGCGAATTTCCAGGTCACCATCCGCATTCACAATACCACGATCTTTTCGCCTCCCCAAAAGAAGCCTGACTCAATGTCGCGGCGACCATGACCACGGACAGTGTAAGTGGTTCCATCTGGGTTCTCAGGCCCCTGAGAAGAGGCTGGCTGACTGCCCGTCGCAGTCGGAACCTCTTCGCCAGTAGGTTCGTTGTCTTGAGGAGGTAGAGGAGCTGGTAGCGGAGCAGCACTCGTCGCTGTCTTCGGAGTAGCCTGCATCAACGTCACAGGCCCTGGCTCCCCTGCGACTGTTTCCTCGGACTCCTCAAGCTTTCTGTTTTCCCAGCTCGGCCACTCATCTTCCTTCTCTTCTTCATCACAGGCCTCTGCACTTGGGCCCTTCTCTTCACCTTGATCAGCCTTCGCGGCCTTGTTTTTCTTCTTTCTCTTCCTTTTCTTTTTCTCCCCGGTGTAGATGTCATCGTCCATGGAGCTCTTCGGCCACGGCTTACGATCATCTCCACCATCACCAGGACCATCTCCACCCTCGCCACCAGCATCAGCAACGCTGGTCGCCATGGCTTCAGCACGGAGCGCCCGGACGTTGGGGCAGCCCAAAGGGCAGTAGTTCCTGAACCCGGCAACAGTCACACCGGAGTTGAAAACCTGTGCACCTTCGCCACTGAAGTCGTTTTCACAAGTGCCGTCAACCACGTTATCCCCAAAAATCGATTTCCCAAAATCAAATTCCCCAAAAGAGGTGGGACTTTGTGGTTTCAGGGTTTTCTTTATGCTGGGTTCATTTTCCCTCAGCAATTGGTGGTTTGGACCGGGTTCATTTTCCCTCGGCCATCCTGTTTCAGTAAGTTGGGTTCCTATGCCGGGTTCATTTTCCCTCGGCGTTCTTGACTTTCTTTTGAGACAACAAAGGTGAGACTTCCATCTTTGTACAACATGGCACACACCAGCTGCTACTGCACAGATCCCTAACCTCCTAATCCGGTGGTGCTCCTCAGTGGTCGGTTTCCACCTTTCAAGCTCTACAGCTACAGTCAGCCCCTTCAGAGCCCATTCTCTACAGATTCCAATCTTCTTCAAGGTCTCCAGGTCCTCCGGCTCAGCCATGTCGTAGAGCCCTGCAAACCTCCGGAATCTTGGCCAAGTAGCCCCAACGGTGATTGGCTTCGTCAGGAAATCTGCCGCAAGTTCCACACCCGCCGTGTGTTTCACCTTCCACACCTCCTGTTGTACCGCTTCGTGCAACGCCCTAGAGCGCAGCCTGAGATGTCTCGATCTCCACGGTCCATTTGGGTTAAGTACGACCTGGATTCCCGATTGGGAATCACCGTACAACACTCTGGTTCCCTTTTCTGTTAACCTTCCTTCCTCAAAAAGGTCAACCAAGACCGCCACCGAGTCTCCAAGGCTCATAGCGTCCACGTACGAAGTGACTTCAGACTCAGAGCTGCTCAGCGTAGCAAAGCTCTGTCGCTTACTTTCCCACTGGATCAAACCACCTGCCCAGACAGCAAGGAGACCCTGGTGGGACCTCTCCCCTCCTGGACCGAATGACGCATCCGAGTGGACTTCCAACGTATTGGCATCCCTGCAGAATGCCAAATTCCCATTCGGCCCACGGTCGGCCTCTTGACACTTTTGGTATAGCAGACCATGACCCACTGTGGCCTTTAAGTAGCCAAGCGTTTGCCTACCAAGTTGGCAAACCCTCTTCGGACATTTGGATGCTCGGGAACCCATCCAACTCACTGCATATGCCACGTCCGGCCGCGTCTTTGTGCTTACCCACAAAAGTTCGCCGACCAGAGTCTGCGCCCTTTTGACATCTGCAGGCTCCGGTGGTGATTCCTCGACATCCTCAGTCCTTGCAATTGGTACCAGCGCTTCTGGTACATCTGGGTATCGATCCAACAGATCCTTGGTGTAGGATTCTTGGGAAAGGAGGATGCCGCCCCTCGGGTGCAGCTTCAACTCCATTCCACAGAATCTCAGCATTCCCTTTCCTGAGAGATACTCCGCTTCGGAGCAGTTCCACTCCTGGTTTGTTCGGTTCAGACATCCCTTGATTACTTCAGTTGGTCCACAGACCAGGACATCATCGACATAGAAGGTACAAAAACCTTCTACCCGTTCATCCGAGTCCGCTCTTCCTGGCTCCTCGCTCGACACGAGTTGCCAGACATTTGGTTCGACCGTTTGACGCATCCAGAACGACCTACCGTTTGAGCTCCACTCAAATTTCTTGACCCTTTGGTCGCGGAAGCTACTCCAGTCGGCCGGACTGGTCTCCAGGCCGTACATCGCCTTTTGGATCACCCACCGCTCATCCGGCGGACAGATCCCAGCCTGCACCAGCAGCTTCGGTGGGATGGTCATCATCAGGCACTCCTGCTCCCTTCGGCGTGGGGCAAGCAAGAACGCGCCCTTGATATCTAGGACTCCCATGTCCCACCCATCCATCATGGCGGTCTTTCTGACCATGCATCGAATGGCGGTGGCATCAGCTCCTCCAGCGTACAAGTCCGCTGCCGTCACTGGAGTCGCCTGAGTCTTGTTGCCATCCTCGTGAGCCTTCGTCACCAGGTTTCCACAGATCACAATCCGTGCCTTGCGTTTCCCATTTGGCGATTTAACTGTGGCAACCAACTTGCTTGGTGCTAGCTCCATGTCTTGATAGCCTTCCATGGCCTCCAACTCACTAAGCTTAACCGGTTTCACCGCCTGGCTTTCATACACAAGCTGGTTGTACTCGGCCTTAATTGGTTCAATCCAGGATTCCATATCCCGCTTTACCATCGTCAAGGGGATTGTGTAGGTTTGCAAGACCGTCGGGGGCCTGCTCACACCTTGGTTCTCATCCCCTGGTTGGCCATCCGTCGACAAAGCTGCGATTCGGGCATGTCTCTCACACTCTTCAGCTTCCAATGCCTCCACCTTGGCACCTTCTTCTTCGATCCGGGAATAATGCTCCAATTCACTTTCCAGCCATCTCACTTGGGTACTCACGTGTTGCACGACTTGTCCTTGCGCCGCACCTTCTTCTTCTGTCCCAGCGACTGCATTCACCTGTTCCTGCAGAAGTTTTCTCAGATTCCAGTGCTGGTAGCGGAGCTCATTCACATACTCCTCTACTTCCGTCTTTTCGATCTCCCCCCAACCTTCAAGTTGAGTTCCATCCACAAGAGACTCCCCCCCAGCTCGTAAGGCCATGAGAGCTGGCAATCCCAATTCTGCCTCAGGTGGAACCAACTCAGAGTCAGACAAGATAGAGGGCTCATACCCATCTTCTTCTTCAGCGTCGGCCACAGCCAACAATGACTCAAGTTCACGGTCCTCCCTAGGAGGTGGTAAAGGGATCTTGGAAACCTCCACAACCAGTGGCTGCTTCCCGTTGAGACGTCTTTTGGGAGGATCCTTGGGATCATCGACCGTTTCCAGCTCCAAACGAGCTGTTTCTCCAAGAGGATCAGGAATGAACACGGACCGTGCGTGCTGCACAAGGTTGGCTTCTTCATCAAGAGCAACCCAACCGTTAGTCATCTGAGGTGAAGGGCCCATAATTCGAAGCGTCTTGTAAGGGGATGACAACGCCCCTTCTTTTCGACGATGCCACAGTTTGGCCTTAACCTGAGCCAACACAGCAAAGGGTGGCATCTCCTTACACTTGGCCCCCAACTTTCTCATTTGGGCACGCAATCGTTCCTCGACTCCGTGTCGGGCCGCGCATGGCCAGTAGTCATGACTCACTCCCGTTTCTGCCAACAAAAGGCGAAGTCGACGCTTGAATTGGTTGATTTCCCCTTCAATTCGTCCATTGGCTTCAGGCTCGTCGCCTGCATTGAAAGTTTGATGGACCTGGCGCATTTCGCACCACTTGGCCACGTGATTGGTTGTGAAAGATCGCTCCCGATCAGAGTGCACACGGTAAATGGGTATGCCAAGGCTCTTCGCCCGGGCATGCACTTTGGACAGTGCCTTTGTAATTTCATTCTGGTGACGAGACGCAAGCGGCTCCATGAAGGTGATGTTCACCACTGGAACATCCTTGGATATCTCCTTGACTTCCTTTTTGACGAACTCTTCCCAAGCCTGGTTTCTCTTCCGGGCTTCTTCTTCTGGGATCAGATCCCTCGGCTCTGGATCCAAGAGAAGCTCCCCAGAGGCTTCCACTTCCTCAGCTTCGGGAACAACTTCTTCCTTTTGAGGTTCCACCGCCTCCGTGGAATCCTCCTTCTCCCCCGGACTTGGCCACTGAGGCACAGGGATAGTCGCCAGCAAGGCATACTTTACCTTTCTGCGTTTGGAGACACCAAGGTCGGTGCCCTTTTTGAACGGACCACAGATGTCTACAGACATCACAAAGGCGGATTCTTGACCCCTCTTTCGGCGATGTGGCTCAGCCGAGCCCATGGTTTCCAAGCAGACCTTACAGTCCCGCCGGTATGGCACGTGTTGTGCCTGCAGATGCTTCTTCCATCCCGCTAAGTCCAACTTGCTCAGCATCGGTTGCTGAGCCTGGCTCGCCAGAAATTTGGGTATCACAATCTTGAGAGCAGCCATCAGACCTGGAGCCCATGCAGACCAAGAAGCCGTCTGCTTCAGCCGCTCCCGGAGATCCATGCACACACTCTCTCCAGATTCCTTCGAGGTAATCCCATCAAGTTCCTTCAGCTGGACTATGTTGGTCAGAAGCGTTGTGGGTTTGGGGCGTTGGTGCCCTAAAGCCCCTTGGTCCACCCTGACCTTGAACATGTCTGGGTTTCGTTTCAAGAAATCTTCTGTTTCCTCCCATTCCCAGAAGGACGGATACTCTTTCCCATCTTCCACATACTCGCATGGATCTTGGGGACTTTCCACCAGAAGACCACACAGACCCAGAATGCCATTCGCAACCATTCCCTCTTGAGATTTCTCATAGAGACCAAGAGTTTTCAACCACAAGGCGGTATCTCCATCCACCTTTGTCATTTCTCTTTCAGTTAGATCATCCAAAGCGAATCTGTGATTCCTTCTGCCACGTAAAGGGCGAGGACCTGGGATCTTATGCCTAAGACGACTCACTGTCCTGCATGGCGGTCCGGCGGTTATCATCCGGATCCGGCCCCTTTCAGCCAATCCCCACAGATACGCCCACACCCCAGCGGCGTGTAGATCTTCTTGAGCGTTCGATGAGATGTCAACGGTCAGCACCTCGGTGTCTGATCCCGTGAGATCCCGCCATCTCCTGGATTCTCCCCCGGACCCAGAGAAAAGATGGATCACCACACCACCTCGAGCTCTTTCCAACCTCCTCCGCTTTGCCCTATTCCAAGGCAAAGGGGAGGCAATTTCTTCCCAGTTCAGCCCTTGGCCCCTCATCAAAGACCAGATTCTCTCAGGGACCTGTGGATACTTCTCCTTCCACCATTCGATCTCCTGAGCCGGTGGCTCACAGTAGTCTCCCACTCCACCATTCTCAAGTGACTCCAAGAGACTCAAGGCTTCACTTCTGTCCATCACTGGACACCCTTGGCGTCTGACACACTGCAGGTTCCCATGTTTCGGGTGTGAGATGTCACAGCGATCCTTCTGCCAGTCGATCTTGAATCCGTGATCTACTAGCAGCCGCAATGGAATTATGGGTTCCACGTTATTCAGTGCCAACAGCGTATTGTGCGCTGCGCACCGATAGAGCGTGACACTTCCCATCGCCATTTCAACTTGGACTGGCCAAAGATGCGGAACTTCGGAGCTCTTCGCCTGTCGCAAAGCGTGAGTCGCCCCCCATCTAGCAAGGCGTACTCTCCTCCGCACTCCTCGTCCATTTTCACCGTCTTGATGAATACCGATTTGATCGACGTCATGGACTTAACCAGACCGTTGAGGTTCTGCACCAAGTCACCTTCCTGCTTGGGCAGGGAACCCTCAGATCTTTTTTCCGGTTGCGGATTTTCCTCCGCTGCCTCCTTCACTACTGTTGACTCTTTTTGGCTCTCCTTTTCAGTGCTCTTCTCCCCTTTCTTATTGAGGACCTTAGCGACCTTCCGGTCACCTTTCTGTGTCCAGCCATTTCCATCTTTAGGCTTGGCTGTGGGACAATCCCTTTTACGGTGGCCTGTTGATGAGCAAAGCAAGCACCTTGAGGATTTCTCCAACGTTCCCCAGGCGTGTGCAAAACCGCACTTCTCACCCCTGCGACACCCTTCGTCAGTGCCCCAGAAACGACACGGCGCTTTCTCACCTTCTGGCCTCTCCCATGGCTTCTGCCCTTCCCCCGTGAAGGCCTTGACAGCCGGATTCCCCTGCGTCAGCACCGGAGCCAACGCTGGCGGATTCGACGGCGTCGCCTTCCCAGCAGTCTGCGCATTAGCCAACTCTTCCAGCTCAGCTTGGATGTACTCGGCCCATTCCTTGACCGAACCAAGGCTTGGAGCTCTATCTACGTCCAGCTGTTGGCGCCTGGTCGCCAAGCGGAACGCCACCTGACTTCCACCCAATCTTGAAGCTCCGTCAGCGAACTTCGACAACACACCTGTCAGAACCAGAGGATCCACTGTTACACTCAGCTCCTCCGACCTTCCCACTGATCGGCGCCATTGCCGAACGGACCCCAGCAGTTCCACCAAACCTGCTGGCACCTTGGCCTCGCTGATGGACTTGATCAATCCTGTCCTTTCACCCGAACCACCAGGTTGAAAGGTGGTAAACAAACGGAACAGAATCCCGACCGTCGAGAGACGCCGCGATGCTATGACGTCCTGTCGCAAACCTTCTGGCAAAGCAACTAGCAACATAGATACTGACCGCTGTTCCAGTCTTGCGTAGCCTTCACCGATCACTGGTGATCCTGGTTTCATGCGCAGCTTCTCCAGCGGCGTGGCAACCAGCCACTGCTGATAGTGGTGTTCCACAGTTTTCACTGTCAGACTCCACCATTCTCCAGCACTTCCAGAAAGATCACTCATCAGTGGATGCACCACAGTCATCCAATCCCCGAACTGGATGGACGCACCTTCACTTCCCGGTGTGGGAAGCTTTGGTAGCTCCAGGGCCCTCAAAGCCTCAGTCAGAGATGGTCCCGGCTGAGCTAGCCCAGCTTGATTCCTTCCTTGGAATCCCGGATCAATCCCTGGAGGTGGGGACGGCATTCCACCGACTCCTCCCAACGGCTGAGAAGTTCCCAAGGCCTGGCCAACCACGGCCTGTCCCTGTCCAGCTCCACTGGATGCTGACTGGTACGATTGGGTTTCCTCGGTCTGACCTTGAAGCCTTCTCACCTCCTTGGCGAAAGCTTCCTCTGCCTCCCGCATCACCCGCTTTCTGATCTCCTCAACTGCCATCGCAGCTGGGTCCATCATCATCTGAGTCCCTCCCGATGGATCTGTTCCAACAGGAGCTGGGTTCCCCCCTCCAGCCAATGCCTGCATGGGAACCGGGCTCACCATTTGCATGGGAACCGGGCTCACCATGGGTACTGACTGCAGGTCTCGAGGTTCTCGGACTGGAGTCACCATCACTCCTAATCCCTGAGCTGGTTGGCTACCTGAAGGATGAAACACTGGCGGGTGTGGACTCGCGGCTGATCCCATCTGTTGCTGCTGCGGCAGCTGAAAAGCTACCAACGGCGGCAAAGGCTCAGCCAAAGGTCCCAACATAGCACCGCCCACATGCCCTCCACTCGGACAGCCACCACCTTGGTCATTGATCCCCTGACCACTGCGTTGATGTAGTTCAGCATGAAGACCTTGTAGAGGAAGGACACCAGGAGGACCACCTTGAGGTACACAAGAACGGACTTGAGCTCCAGGAAAAAGTGTCCCCAAAGCTTGCAGTTGGTTACCCCCCGCACCAGCCACATCTTGCGCCACACCCCGAAGAAGCGGTCCTACCACCATTGTCGATCTCCCACCACCAGGCAATTCCTGCTGAGCTGCCACCGGAGGAGCTTCAGGCCCTAAAGCTTGTGGCAAACCAGCAGGCCTCGCCACCTCACCTTCTCGACCTTGAGCTCGTCCATCTCCCTCTGCTCCAGCCTGAATTTCCAACCTCCGCACACCACCTTCCATCCTCCTAGGAGCAGACAGAGCTCTTCTTCTCTCTCCCTCCTCTTGAGTCTGGGCGATCATGCGGTCCAAGGCTTCATCGGCTGACTCACCACTCATCCCTCCACGTCGACACTGCAGCAATGACATGGCCACGCAGCAGAGCGCCTCTTTGGGCTCGTAACCTTTGGGGGTTAAAAGTGGTCACCTGCAGCACCCCATAGGCTGCAGCACGGATTTTTCTTGAGCCATCAGAAGTAGCGGAGCGTTTAGCCATGTACATGTCATCCTTAGTGCAGGGGCCATGCTTGTAAAAACGAAGCTCACCCTTCTACACCTTGGACCTTGGCATACCAGCAACTGTACATCCTAGAGGTTAGAGTGTTCCATGAATCACAATATAAATATAATATACATAATATATTTATATATATGTACATAATATACCCATTTTCATATCCCAGGATGAGAATCCACAAAACCCCAAGGAAGCTTCTTTGCTTGGCCAATGCCACGCTCTGTCACTGGAGATCTCTCAGCTGACGTGTCAGGACGGCGCCCTGAGGGTCGGCGGTTGGCAGGGTTGAGGGCGATGACCAATGGGCAAGCCATGGGCTGTCCATCCATCTGGGAGTTGGTGATGTTTTAAATGTTTTGGATGTGTGTTCCATTTCTTTTTCATGGGGCACCTGATGATTTTTGAGATGGTTGACGCATCTTCTTTTTTTGGCAAGCAGGATTGGCCATATACGTTTTGGTCCTTTCGGGGTTGAAACATAAGCCGCAAAATGAAAAAACCGCATGGGTAGTTGGACAGTGATTTTCCTACGGAACATGTTGATGTTCAGGCTTCACTCTGTAGAGATTGACCAGTGGATTTAACATTCCAAAGCGATTCGATTTTCAATTTGAGGTTGGTTATCTGGTGTGGCAAGGAGCACTTGAGCAGGGTATGTTTCAATCATGTCCACACCAAAGCAAGAGTAATGTTTAAGCAGACAGGAAGTATGGATGTATATGTATGTATGGATATATATATATAATATACATAGGATGAACAGTTGGAATCATGAAAGTTATGGGGAAAACCAGCCTTTTGTCAGTCCTCAGTACTAGTGGCCCAGCAATGCATTAAACATCCTAAAAGGGGTCCAATTAGGTATGGTTTGTTATTGGCTTTGTTTCTATGATTTATTCTTTACGTTTGCTTATATGTACACATGTATACTGTATATTTACATCTCATGTTACTTTTGTCAATTTCCTGATCTTTGTTGGGCGAATCTCATGATGCTGGTGTCCTAGTCAGACTGGTGCAACGACAGTCCCCATGGTATTAGGAGGGTTGAAACCAATGCCCTGAGAGTACAATCCTAGTCACTGACCACTTACGAAGATCATCTGGCATCAGAGACCATGCTACTACTGGGGATAGACTAGACTTTATCTTGTTGGTCCCTTCATTAACCCCTTCATTAACCTTCACTTGTTTTTGCTTTGCTGGTCATATCTATTTTTGTCATACACCATTTTGTCGGGCAATTGATACTTTTTGCAGCTTGAACCAACACATTCAATGCTTAGATATGCTTAACTTCCAGATTTTAGGCTTCAATTCAAGATGCCTGGTGGAGTCACCCTTATCTATGAAATCCCTTACATAAACTCCCAAGTCGCCTGGTGAAGTTCCTTGGTCGGTCCCCAGTTCGGTGCAGGAGCGCTGGCTCCTCAAGGACAGCCAGCGGCTGCGAGAGCGACAGAGGCAGCTGCAGTTTGCCGTGCGGGGACGTCCCAGATGGGATGGGAGGATTCATTTGATTTATGGATACAAAAGCTATGGAAAAACATTAATTCCCAGTCTGATTATGGAAATTATGGATATGTATATACATATATATTGGTTGGTGGTTTGGAACATTTTTTATTTTCCCCAATATATTGGGAATAATCCTTCCCAACTGACTAATATTTTTCAGAAGGGTTGAAACCACCAACCAGCATTTGATTTATACCCAGTCTGGTATACAAAAAGCTATGGAAAATAGCACCAATAAAAAAAAGGTTAATAGAACCTATTTCTATGGGCCATGGCTTCAATAGCTATGTTAAATTACCAGAGAGAGTAACTCCAGTGACTGTTGGGTTTATGGTGTCATAATATATACATATATATATAATAATA